CTGGCCAGCTCCCCTCCCCCACTTGATAGGCCCACTCGCCTCCCACCCTTGGAGCTGGTGGGGAGCCCCATCCTGCCCAGTCAGGAAAGCCACCAGCTGCTGAGACTTGACCAAAGGGGCAAGTGGCCTTGACCCAGGGCCAGAGCCTGGAGGCCCCGGAACAGGCATTAGACAGGAGTGGGCTGCAGTGTCATTCTCAGGCCCACCCAGAGGTTCACAGTGCCCTTCCTCCAGCTGCTCTCTGCCCTGCTGGCCAGGGCAAAGTGCCCCAGAGCTCAAGCCCCTGCTTCTAGACCATTCTCTGGGCACCTAAGACCTCAGACTCTTCTGCCCTGATGGGCCTGATCCTGTGCTGACAGAGGGCTTCGCAGGGTTCCACATGTGTCCCCTCCTGCCAGGGTCAGCTGCTTTTACCAGGTGCACCCTGAGGCCCAAGGATGGCCACCTGAGGAGGACAGGTGCAGGGAACCTACATTTATGCTCTTGCCCTGAGCCCTGGGGACAGGTGGGGTGACCCTGGAAAGGGAGGGGCACCCTTCCCCGGAGCAACCCACTGTTTACCTGGGGAGGAGCCTGCAGGGGCCTAGGGACATGAGACAGTCCAGGAAGGCTGGTGAGAAAGGGGCATCATCCCCAAGGGCCACACGGGGAGAGGACTTGACCCAATATGAGCAATGCTCAGTGGGCTAAGAAGAGCACAGATAAGCACAGGGAACAGAAATGTCAAGACTTTTCACCTGCATGGACCTGCCCCCGCAGCTGCCTCTCCTCAAAGTCTAGCATGTACACCCACTCCTCCACTCGGCCACCTTTGTGAACACCTTCTAAGTGCCAGGTCTCATTTCCTCACCCTACAGACCACCCCACCATATCCACTCATTATGCGGCTTTAGCAGGTTGATGTCTTGTTTTCATCACTCAAGAGCTGTGTGTCCCTAGAGAAATTACTCCACTGCTCTGATCCTATCTCCTCATTGTTAAGTGAAGGGAATGATCCCTCTTATTTCCTCTTGAGGCTTTGCAAAAGAGAATCAGTGACAGTACACTGGAAACTTGAAGGGCTGTCCACATTTCAGGAGTCGTCTTCATAGTCAACATATTCATGAAGTCCTTCAAGACTGACGAGGATGAGGGGTAGCAAAACAACTCACCCTACCCTCTCTCTCTGACCCCCTCTCCAGAAGCTCATCCCCAAGATAAGTGATAATTACATAAAGATAATTCCATAAAAGAGTCCCTGTCCTCAAGAAGCCCAGGGTCAGCAGAAGAGAAACATAAGAAGTAAGAGGAGTCCGTGGTCAGAAGGGGACACCCTGTGCACGTGGGACTGTGAAAATGTAGCTGGGGTCTACCTAATGCCACTCCCACCCAGTCTTGTCCTGGGGACTTTGCAGATGTCACTGTGAAGAGAGAGAGAGAGAGAGAGAGAGAGAGAGAGAGAGAGAGAGAGAGAGAGAGAGAGAAGCCAGCTGAACATTAACGTTAGTATGAAAATATGATAGATATTTGATTTTTTTTGGTAGCGGGAAAATGTAGGTGAACTTGTTCCTGCAAAAGGAACCTGTTGATCAACCGAGCAGAGATTTTGTGTGTGTGTGTGTGTGTGTGTGTGTGTGTGTGTGTACACATATCTCTTTCTTAGGCCTGGCCTGGGGTCTCGCTTAAAGGCACTATAGTTCCTTCTAGACTTCAGTTTCTTTATGTATAAAATGGAGAGAATACCCCCTCCAGAGAGGAGCGAGAGCATCTTAAAGGCAGAACTGAAGGGGCAGGTGGGGTAGCTAGTTGGCCAAATCAGGGCCTTGGCCCCACACTCTCTAAAGACATGGCTAAGAGAAGGGGGTGGGGAGAGACCGGCGATAAGGCAGGGTAGAAAATTAATAGCTTGACCCTGGTCTGGGAGTCACCCTGCGGAACCTTCCCCTCTCTCTGAGCCTATGGCTGAGCTGCCCTCTGTGGGTCAGGGTCCTGGCCTGGTGGCTTCCTCCTCTAACCAGGAGAATCAGGCACACAGGGGTGGACAACCTCCTGGTGCTGCCTCTTGTGGAGATGGCCAGCACAGCCTGGTCCCAGCCCTTGACTCACCAGCAGTGGCAGGAGTATGATGCCCTCAGTAAATAAGGCCCAGAGGGTGCGGTCATCAATTGCTGAGGGCTCAGGGCAGCTGAAGAAGAGATCGCCATCCTAGGCAGTGGGGCTGGTCCCTTCTGCAACTTGTCTACCCACCCCATCCTGGGCCCTCCTAACTACTAAGTATACCTGTCCCTGTTTCTTTAGCTCTTGCTCTGCATCCCATAATTCTAGTCCCAATTTTATTTATTTATTTATTTATACATACATACATAAATAAATGTATTTATTTATACATACATACATACATACATACATACGTACGTACATACATACCAGGGATTGAACTCAGGGGTACTCAGCCACTGAGCCACATCCCCAGCCCTATTTTGTATTTTATTTAGAGATGGGGTCTCACTGAGTTGCTTAGCACCTCGTTTTTTGCTGAAGCTGACTTTGAACTCGAGATCCTCCTGCCTCAGCCTCCCAAGCTGCTGGGATTACAGGCGTATGCCACTGCACTCAGCCCAATTGCATTTAATTTTGGTGTCAACCTGATGAGGAGTATATCGTTACCAGCCCTGCTTTATAGGTGGGGAAGCTGCGGACGGCTGACTAAACCCCTGGGGCCACTGGCAAGCCCAGGAGCCCCAGGCTGGGGCAGCCTGGACCAAGCTGGGTGACTCACAAGTGAGGACTGGGGTTTGACTCATGTTCTCCCAACCCACCTGGGAAGAAGGGCAGCCTCAGTTTCCTAGTAAACACTAAGACAGCTCTGTGGCCCTCCCCGGCCCACCCAGAATATTAGAGAGTGAGCAGAAGGGCCCACACACCAGATGTCTAAATTCCAAATAATTTAAAGTTAACAAATGAGGTTGAAGCTATGAAATAGCTTCAATCCCTCTGCCCTTAAATGCACTGGATGAAAAAAAAAATCTCAAAAGGAATCTCCGATTTCACGCAGGACCCTGACAACATGGAGGGCAGCTCCCATCTCCAGGTCACTGTCCCTTCCGGTCCCCATCTCATCCTAGCTCACATTCAGTCCCACAACCATGAGACTTTATGGGATCTTTCAAGTGCCTAAGAGTACATCGCCACCTTCAGGAGCACAGAAAGTGCAGCAGGAGGGAAGTCTTGGTCAGGAACCCTGGATGGGCTTGTTCTAAAGGGGTGCAGGCTCTGGGCGGGCATGTCCCCTTGGCCCCAACAACTCCTCACCCAGGGGAAATGTTGCATCCCTAGGAGGACCAGAGCAGAGCCCTCTAACACAGGGGCCCAAGGCTGGAGCCCCTCTTGTCTAGAGCTAAGAGCAAAACTAACCCCACTACACAGGGTTCCTCCCCCAGTTCTGAGACTCTATTGCTCCTGAGCTCAGATTAAATGCTTTTCAGTACAATCCAATTTCCTTTGACACACAGACTAGAAAAGCCCAGTATGTCTGGGAGGGGGGGGGGGGGGAACAGCTTCCCGAGTGAGTCCCCACCCCCATAAAGGAGAAGACGGAGGGAGGGACGTCACTTTGGCCCCTCACCACGGCCCCTGCCGCCACCACACACACACACACACACACACACACACACACACACACACACACGGCGCTAAATATCCAATCAAGTCCTCAGATAATAG